CCGCCACTGAAAAGATGTAGTTAGTATTTATAATTATTTAAACGATTCCTACAATTTCGGTGATTTTATATAATATATTATCTATATTATGTCAATTTTATTATTATTTGTCTATCGTAAATAATTGTTACTGTTGTCTGTTCCTCGTGCGTTAACCGTTGTACCAAATGTACGTTTGCAAGACCGAGATCTATTTAGAAATAAATAGTATTCATAATCATTAATTTTTATTTCAGAAGAAAATTCCGGTGATTCAAATGACTCATTTAATAATAAGACAATATTAGTAGGTGAAGAAATTGAAACTTGTGTTAGTTCTATTACAACAAAATCAAGTGAAATAATTCAGGATATTGAACCTACATCTTCTTCAACTAGTTTTGAAACATTTTTTCAACTTATAAATTGTAACGATCCACCTTCTTGGGCCCCAATTACGGATAGCATTAGAGTTTACCTCGTAACGCAAGAACCTGATCAAGGTAAAGATGCTGATTTTAGCAAATCTATGTCAGTCGATGGTCGTCGATTTTCCCCTTATTGGTTTAAAAAAACTTTACCGAACAATGAAGTTATAGACAGAAATTGGTTGATTTATTCTAAAAATAGTAAAACCGTATTCTGTTTTCCATGCTGTTTATTTAAATCAAATACCTTAAAAACAGGAAGTATTGCATGTACAAACGAGGGTTTTTCGGATTGGAAAAGTATTAATCGTATTTTAGATCACGAGAAATCGGCTGATCATAGAAATCATTTCTTACAATGGAAATCTCTTGAAAATAGATTAAAAAACTTTCAATGCATTGACGATAAATTACAAAAGGCGATTTTGCTAGAAAAAGATCGATGGCGTCATATACTTCGTATAATTTTAGATGCAATTTTATTTTGCACAAAAAATAATTTAGCATTTAGAGGATCGAGCACAACAGTAGGAAATAAACATTCTGGTATTTTTCTAAATTTAATAGAATTACTTAGCAAATATGATAATATTCTAAAACAACATCTTGTAAATCATAACAAAGGAGCTATCAGTTATATATCTCCAAAAATACAAAATGAATTTATCTGTTTGTTAGGACAAACAGTTCGAAATAAAATATTATCTAAAATAAAAAAAGCAAAATATTTTTCTTTGCTGTTTGACTGCACTCCCGACGTGTCACATAATGAACAAATGGCTGAAGTGATTCGTTATGTTGATATTGACAATGGAAAAATTATAATTGAAGAAAGTTTTATAGATTTCATAAACACGGAGGAAAAAACTGGGGACGGGTTGGCTATGGAAATATTAACAAAATTAAAAGCTGATGAACTTGATGTACAAAATGTACGGGGACAGGGTTATGACAATGGAGCTAACATGTCAGGAAAATACCATGGCGTTCAGGCAGTCATATTAAATAAAAACAATTTAGCCACATTCATTCCATGCGCTGCTCACTGCCTTAACTTAAATGGCGTACATGCAGCATCAGCTAATGTTAAGGTACAATTTTTTTTCGATGTGATTCAGAAAATATATACGTTTTTTGTCAAATCAACTACTCGATGGAAAATTTTAATGGATACATTAAAAATTTCATTGAAAGGTCATTCAGATACCAGATGTGCTTCAAAAGCACAAGCTGTTAAGGCCATGAACTTCCAAATAAAAGAAGTATTTAAGGTATTACAAAATATTTCTGACTCAGAATTAAATTTGGAAACAAAATCAACAGCTAAAAATTTACTTCAATTGATCAATTTTGACTTTCTTTGCTTACTTAATATTTGGAATCAAATTTTAAGTAGTATAGATCGTGTTAATCAAGCTTTACAAAACAAAAGCTTATCGTTGGAAAAAGCTTCCAATTTGCTACTCGGGCTTAAAAATGCTTTGCAGGAAATTCGTGACACAACCATGGAAGACAATTTTACAAATGCTACAAAAGTTGCAGAAGAGTTACAAGTATCGACAATTTAAAGGAATCAAGAACAAAAAAAAGAAAAAGATTAGAACTTTATGAAACAGATGATAACGTAATAAATATTTCTACAGAACAAAACTTTCGAATTACTATTATAGACTCAATAGATATTCTTCTTACTCAGATGACATGGCGGTATGAAAAAATTATGGAAATTTCAAATGATTTTGAATTTCTTTCCGGTCATTCATTAACCAATATGAATTCACACGATTTGCAAAAAGCAGCTTCTGATCTAGGATTAAAATATAATGAAGATATAAATACTGCGGAAATAGTTGAAGAAATTAAAGATTTTAAACATTCAGTTTTATCAATTTTGCCAAGTATTGAATCAGTTACGTTTTTGGATTTATTACAAATAATTCACGATTATAAGCTTATCGATCGTATCCAAATATTGAAATTGCTATAAGGATTTTTCTCTCAATGCCCGTTACAACAGCTTCATGTAAAAGGAGTTTCAGCAAACTTAAATTGATAAAAACGTACTTAAGATCTACAATGGCTCAAGAGAGATTATCAAGCATGGCCATCATTTCAATAGAAACAGAAATCGCTAGTAAATTGGATTACGAAGAAGTTATTGACAAATTTGCCGACACAAAAGCAAGGAAAATATCGTTATAAATAATGATTATTTTATTTTTATTATTATTAATTATTATTTTGAAATACCTTATAAATAAATTTGTAAAATTTGAATTGATTTGTTTCCTTTAATATAAGGTTGAGAATTATAAACTTGTGGCTAAAAATATAATTTCTTGTTTAGCTCGAAACCTAATTAAAAATTTACTGATTTTCTTAATCTTATTATTTTATTGAAAAATATAAAAAACTGTGAGTGTGTCACCCCCTCCCCCTATCAAGGGGGCGCATTTCTAAAGTTCTGCCTCAGGATAAAAAATGGCTCGGTACGGCTCTGGTATAAGCCGTCTAGTAGGAAAACGTTAACTATGAAGTCATTACCGGATGAATATAATAAGATAGCTACCATTCTTAAATATATGTTAAGAAGTGTTAACAATGTTTCAATTACGACTGATATGTGAACATCAGATAGCAATAGAGCTTATTTAACAGTTACGGGTCAATATATTTAATGATCGTTTATATTCATCTGTTATATCAACTAGAGAAATAATTAAAATACATACTGGTGCAAACATTGCTACTTCAATTTCAGCTATTTTAATTGAGTGGGGTATTTTAAACAAAATAGTAACAATAGTTTCAGATAACGGGTCGAGTATAAAACATGCGATAAATGAACACCTTCATAAATATCACCATCCATGTGTTGCGCATACAATAAATTTAATTGTTAATGATGCAATTACTTCAAATGAAGAGTTACTTAACGTGCTAAAAAAATCCCGAGCATTGGTTGGGCATTTTAAACATAGTGTTTCCGCGTCTACTAAATTAAAAGAAATACAAAATCAAATGAATGTTCCCGAATTAAAAGTCAAGCAAGACATTAGTACTAGATGGAATTCTAGTTTGATAATGTTAGAAAGACTTATTCAAATTAAAGCTTCGTTATCTGAAGCAATAATATTTCTTCCTCATGCTCCAAATTTCTTAACTGCGTTAGAATGGGAATTAATATCTGACTGTCTTCCGTTATTAAAACTTTTTGAAATAATGACAGTTGAGTTATCTGGAGAAAATTATCCAACACTATCCATAGTTATTCCTTTGATACGAGGACTTCAGTATACATTGAGAAACAAAACGACTACAACAGCAACAGGTACTTTACTTAAAAAAACAGCAATCGAAGTTTTAGCTAGGCGTTTAGGGATATTAGAATGCAATAAAATAGTAGCAAAAGCTACATTTTTAGATCAAAGATTTAAAAAGACAGGATTAGGGTTAGTGGATAATGCAATTAATATGGGAAAATGGATAATAGATAAAATTAATTTTATAATGAAAAATACTCAAGAGAACGAAACATCTAATATGCCTATCAACGGAGAACCTAATTTATTATAGGAACACTGATAGTAGTTTCCCAAATTAGAACAACCTTATCAACTGGAATCTCGGCTTCTCTCTTAATACGGCAATATTTAGAAATGCCCTATTTAAATCGAACAAAAAACTCTTTAGACTTTTGGAAACAACACAAAAATACATTTCCTGAACTTATATTCGCTCCAATTAAAATATTTATGTGTTCCCGCGACTTCTGTTCCGTCAGAACGCGTATTTTCAAAAACGGGACAAATAACGAACGACCGTCGGAACAGACTTCACCCCAAAAATGTAGATTATATTGTATTTTTAAATAGTAATACAAATTTAAATCTATAAAATAACAGTTTTAATTAACATTGCAAGACGTAGTTTCTTATTTATTATTAATATATTTATTTTACCTATATATAATTATTATTTAGTTATTAATAGTGTTTGAAGTATGAAATATTTCACAAAAACGTGAAACATTGTATTTTTTTTTGAAAACAAATTATGATTGTTTTTTATCAATTATTAATAGTGCAGTCCATGAGTTCTTGGTATAATCATTGATATTAACAATATTAATGCAATGGGTGCCGTGGTTGACAAATTATACTATTTATACTATATTAGGGTCTTGTTTTCGGTTGTTTATAACAAATATTGGTTTTTTCCCCAGGAATGGTTTATCGTCGACGACGATGCAAGGATGGTTCTATTATTGTGAATTTTGACTATATATATTATATAAGTATTATATTTATTATACAGTTGACAGTCAATAATTTATTATCGCAATCATAATCTTAACGTTATAAACTTATAACTTATATATAGTTTCTAACAAGAAAAATACGCATTTATTTTATTCTATCTCAAATTTTAAGATTTCGTTCTGACGTCACAAAAGCAATACAATTTAGAAAAAACCGAGATATACCTAAGTCTCAACAAATTTCAGGTTTATTATAAAATAGTTTTTATTTATTTATTATCCATTGACTATTTTTGATATTTTCCATATACTTAAATCGAATAAAACAATTATTAATATTACATTTTTTCTGTTAAATTTTAGAACTCAGATCAGATATTGCTAATAGTATTTATCATAGGTTAGGCCAACATACAAATTGTGCAGCTTACTTTTGTCAAGGAGAAAAAGAAGGAGAAATAAATTTAGTACCCCAGGCTGAAAAGTGTGGTTTATTACGCGAAATAAATCAGTTATTCTTTCGGCTTATTAGCAATACATCTAGCCTTTTATCGAACGTTGATAATGACGCTTGTGAGATTTTTAATAGTGTTATAAATAAATACATCACTGGAAAAAGAATAAATTTTTCATAAAAAAATTCTTATAATACTCGAGTCGAGGCTGTTGTTATTTCATTTAATTCAAAGCAATATCTTAGGCAGGTTCATAAAACCATGCAAAATATAAGCCCAGGTAATTTTGGTAAAATTATATATTAAATACAATTATAAATCAAATACTCTAGTATAGAGGTTGTTGTAAGCATGTTATCCACAAAACAGTAAAAAAAAAACATTATTGATATTGTTGTGGGTAGTAGTGCTCTAGTACCTATAACATTTACACCAAAATTCGTATTATCAATAAAATAATGTAAATAAATAAGATTTATTGTTATATATTATATATCTAGCATAATATATGATACTATTTTTGGTTGTTTTATTGTGTATCTATAAATAATTTTTTTTTAGGAACATTCGGCAAAAAATATTTAAAAAATATAGAACGAATAAGGACTAATAGTCTAAAAAGACGACAATTGTTTTCTAACAATTCAAGTTACAAATTCAAAAGCCGACCTCGATTAACTGCAGCGGATCAAAAATTATGGGTTAGCTGAACCATTTGATCGATACAATGACCAAAGAGGATTATGACAAAAAAAAAAAAATTATTTATCCAAAAACTTAATGAGGCTGATAGAACTGAGATCGAAATTATTACAAAAGATCAAAGTAATAATTCTCTTTGGTTCAAAGAAAGAAGACTTCGAATCACTGCATCAAATTTTGGTACATATGCAAAATGCGACCGTGTACTATCTGTAAGAAAAAAATCTATAGTTTGCTATACGCACCAAATCCAAAAACAAAGCAATTAAACTATGGTAATGTCATGGAATCTAAAAATCGAAAGAAGTTCGAAGAAATGTACAATGTAAACGTACAAACATGTTGTCTTATTATTGATTCTGAGCTACCATATTTGGCAGTAAGTCCAGGTAACTAATATACTATATATTAAAATAAAGATGTATTTTTTGTAGTTATTTAGTTCTTTTAATTATTTTTTAATTAGATGGTTAAATTGGAGAAAATTCAATAGTTGAAATTAAGTGTCCTTATTATGCTCGTAATGCAGAAAGTGTAATCGATGCTTTCAACAATAAATTTGTAAGTATCAATAAAACTATATTATCAATTAAAAAAAATGTTTTGATATTGCATACTTATATAGATAATTATCATTATGATTTTATAAAGTTATAACAGTTGAAATTATGTTTATAACACATGTTACAGCTACCAAATTGGACTATAAAAGATTCTTCGATCATACTAAAACGAAATAGAAATTATTATTACCAAATTATTGGACAACTGCATATTACTCAACGCAAATTATGTTATTTAGTATTATATACCGAAAACTGGACCACTGTGGAAACAATTCTTTATGATCATTCATTTTGGATGCAAATATCTAAAAAAATAATATCGTAAGTTTTTGAAAGTACCATTACCATTCCTACTAATTAAATTGAATATGACATGAATTTATACTTTAGTTTTTATTTAAATTGTCTCTTGTCGGAACTCGTTAATCCTTTATATGGCAAAATATTGTTAATAAGTGATATCAGGGATCCGGATGACATTAGAAAAACAACAAGAAAGATTTAAAACATTTTCATTAAAAAAAATTAAAAAATCGTAGTACCTATTACTATTATATTAAACATTTCTTACTGTTTTTATTTTTAATACTTAAAATGTGTATAACAACGTTATATTCTATTTGGTTATAGATTTTACCTGTAATGTAATTTGGTTACTTCAATACACTTTAAACAATAGCAAGTATATATAATATACACCTACACAATTATAACGTAAAATATACGTAATACATTCACCAATTAGAAAACTATTATTTAAACATTTAAATAGTTTAGCTTATTGCTATACATTTGGTATTATGTATATTGGTATTATAATGTATAGATGACAAAAAAAATATAATATAATATATTTTATAATAGTATAAGTAAGTACTAAGTAGTCAGTAGATAATTAATTTATAATATTTTTATTTTAATGTAAATATTATTGTAGTATAGCTTATCCGACATTTTTCTAGTATAATTATTTGTGTACATACGAGTATTATAAGAAATAGTAATCTTAATCAATTAGTTAATAAGCGGCGCGAAAATTATACGAATATTGACTATTGTGGTAATATTATTATAAACACCAGGGCTCGAGACTTGTAGCATTTGCATATTTTTTTGTAGTTTATGAAAAAATAGCAGAGTAAGCAATAAATCCATTTCAGACAAAAATGAACTCAATACTAAGGCTTTTAGTGCATATTTTTGCATATTCTAGAGGTTTTGCTATTTTTTCGACTATTTTGCTATTTATTGCTAATTAATGTAAAAATCGAAAACTCAGTCCTGCAAAAATACATATTTCGGCCACTCATCAGTGATCAACAGTTTTGGGACGTTATAAAACTCATTGTCGATTAAAAAAAATATTCCTAAAATATCCCAATGCAAGTCAATATTGTGTTTATCGTATCTTTTATCTTAATGTTGTTTCTGTTATCGACTTCGACCATACTTGCTTATATACCCAATAATTATGGACTGTTTCGATCTACAACGACGTAATCGATTAGTTTACGTCGACTTTTGATTGCGCTCGTATGTACGTTTTTATTCGTATAGTGAATTTGTGAATTTATAAATTTTTCTTTGTTCAGCTTTTTGTTTTTCATTTAAACATATTTTTTATACCATGCCAAAAGATAAATTATCACTAGCCCGACGGTTAAGAAGCTATGTACAAGAATTCGGTTCAGATACGTTTTCACACGATTCATCTATTCTTTTCTGTAAATACTGTGAAATTAAAGTAAATTGTGAAAAAAAATTCAATGTAACACAACATCTTAAAACTGACAAACATACAAAAGCAGTTAAACGTAAACAAGAAGAATCAGTAATATCACAACAGAAATTTTTAACACATTCAAGTAAGAAATCATGTTTCAATAAAGATTTGTGTCAGGCCTTATTATCCGCTAACATACCTCTAAATAAACTTTCAAATAATCGATTCCGCAGTTTTTTAAGTACTTACACGGGTAAAGAAATTCCAATGGAATCTACATTAAGACAAGGATATGTCCATGTTATATATATTGAAACAAAGGAAAAAATTAAATCATAAATTTCTAACAAGAATTTGTGGCTTAGCATTGACGAAACTTCAGACATAGAAGGGCGTTTCATTGCAAATGTTATAGTGGGCATTTTGGAAGTAGATCAACCGGGAAAAATATTTTGAACTGGAAAAAACCAATTATTCAACGATAAGCAAACTGTTTGATGATTCTATTCAGTTAATGGGTATTGATCGTGATAGAGTGTTACTATTTTAACTGACGCTGCGCCGTACATGATCAAATCGGCTACAGCACTTGGAGCCTCGTATACTAAAATGATTGTATTCAAACCAATTTTTCACTTCATTATATTTTCCACTTATGCCCATTTCAGTCCAAAATTTCCGGTTTGGTGTAGCTCCATCGCATATTATTCCATGTATGAAAGCTCCAGCATTCTCAAGCAGAGTTATTGTTCTTAGTATCAATTGAGCGATGACCAAACCTTTTTTTGGACCTTTTGATGCAAATACCGCAACTGATTGTTCATAATTATCAGCTAGGGGCACAAACATAAACACAAGCCCATGATTAGCCTTGTCATTAAATGATTTTCCACTATCACCATCTTCACCAAAAACAATGAGTCCTATAAAATTTTAAAATAGGAATGCAAAAAATAAAAACATATAAATACTTAATATAAAAACTAAATTTATTTTCAATTACCAGTATAGGTAAGGTTTTTAGAATTTACAGATACGTTTTCGCGGGTAGACATTTCATCAAAAATTAAAATTCCGTAACGTTTCAAAGTATCCTTCTGAGCAAGGTGAAGAGCAAATAGTTCCACAAACTTAGGATCAAAACCACATTTAGTGTCAATACATGAAAGGTGTCTGAAAATAATACAAGTATTATAGAGTATAAAAATAAAAAATTAAAACCATAGACCCGATAAGAAAGTTTCGGATTTGAATTAATTACCTTCGTATTGTTCTTACACAAGGAAGTGGTAAAATGTCATTATTTAATAAAAATTTATATCCACAAGGAGACCGTATGGAGAACAACATACATAATAAACTTTAATTTTCAAAGTATCTTCGACCTTTTTTTTTATTTTTAACATTTGAAGCAGAAACAATTTCGGTTAAGGAAATACGCTGATTAAATTTTTGTCTAATCTATCTTCAAGGTTTATTGAAGAGAGTGCTGACATTTTGTCGTGTAGATAAGAAATATCATTTTTCAGTTTTTTGTTCAGTGTTTCAGCTCGAATTTTCTTCTGCCTGACTAATTTATACTTCATTTGTAATCGTTTTATTTGTGATTGTTTTCTTGGACTAAGGGTAGTATTAATTATCTCAAAAGTTGTTTTGGTATTTTTGGATAATCGAAGTATTTTACGATTTAAACTTCGTATAGCACAAGTACAGTACTGGCATATATCTTTTTCTTCTAAAATAAATTTGCACATAACGTGTCGAAGATTTCCAACTGTATCAATATAAGAGTTTTGGGACTTTAAATATGAATTTATTTTGTACCCTTTACAAATCTTAGCATTATCAAACTTCTATAAAAGGTCTACCAAAACTCCAATATTATTTATTTTTGTTAAGCCAAAAATGTTTTCAGAAATGTCTTTACCTAACACTGAACATTTCACCTTTAAATCAGTATTCAAACAAACTCGTTTCAAAATAATAGGAGTAGGCATCTCAGTTTCTTCTTTTATAATTGTGTAACAAGAAAACATGATCAATTTTTCAGGTACATCGTGTCTACTCCATGCTGTAGGAAGAATTATACTATTAAAATTTTCATAATATATAATTGTCTATGATCGGACCGCATTCTATTCCCGTGGTTTGTGAGTCGTATTTCCATTGATATTTGAGAGCTCGTTAGGCGAACGCACAACTAGTGCTTCAGCGGTCAATATTGTTATCAGGCGACACTTAGAGAATAATAATGTATTACGGGCGATATAGGGAAGTGCACTGGCGTGGTTACAATTCGTTGTATTATGTTATCAGCCTAATTTACAATTACCCCACTAGATCCTAAATCCAGAAAAAGAATTCAAGGCAATGATATTGAATTGATTTATTTCACATCTCTATTATTTTTGAACGTGTACGATGTACATTGTGGTCAATTTCATAAAAATTTTTATATAATTTTGAACATTTGACGTTTTGATGTTGATTGCGCCGCTACCGATCCTACAAGTACGGCGGTTGTCGGCAACGACTTGCGTTTTTTTGTGTTAAGGACGGGAGTGCAGGAGGGTTAACCACTTAACTCTTTAGGTCGGAAACACGTATATTTGTACAATAAACAATAAATTAATAGGCGCCCAAATAAAAATATGTATAATAATAACACAAAAAAAATAGTAATAATAATAATTAATACAAAAGAAAACCTGTCATACTGGACACCGGATACAATACCACACGACGATCAACAAACAACGACTGACAAACATTGACCATCAAATATGAAACAGCAACCACATATGATGTGTATTAACAATGGCGACGCACAGGCCCGCCGGAACTTCAACAAGTGACGGCGCACACGAGCGGCACGTCGACGATGGTCACGATAATAAAGAGACCGGCACACACGTTATTAAAGACCGGAATACGAGGACCGCACGTAAGTCACATCAACAAAAGTTGTTACACCGGACGGCGTCCACGAGTTGCTCGCTCCTTGGTTGGTGACCGACACGTACCGGCCAGAACAGCCAAAATCACCACCAGTATCCGGACGCGTAGAACCAGAGCGCGTACGTTGCGTTCGGTTACACCGCCCGAAAAAGACAAAAAAAAAGGCTCGGCGGCCAACAGCAAGGTTTACGGCCGAGACACATGAGCGGAACCGCGGGAAGGGAGAGTATCCATAAAGATAACGACACTTGTTCCGGGTTCGAACAGATATAAATCAGTTAATTTGCAATTCCTTATTGTCAAGTAATTTTTTTACATTAAATATACCCCAAGCACGGTTAAACATAAAATACTTATACTATAGGTAAGTTGATTGTGAATTTCTAACAGTTAAAACCATAATTATAGCATATAATTTTTCTTTAATTTATCAATAAGACAATAAAAAGAAGTTTTTTTTATAAACTCTATTTTTTATTCTTAACTCTTATCTTATATTTTTAACAAATTTGTTAACAAAAATTATTTGTAGTCTATAATTTTTCATTTACATATTAATAAGATATTAATTCTAATTTTATATTTTTAACAAATTTGCTGACAAAAACTATTCGTAGTCTTTTAATTTTTATTATTCTTAATTTTAATTTTAAATTTTTAATAAAAGTGTTGGTAAAAACAATTAATCATGTTCAACAACATCGATTCGGCACACTGTAGTGGAACTAAAGACACATCTAAACTTACCCCACTTATTGAGAAAAATAATATAATACAAATGTCACCGACAAAAAAAAAAAAAAAAATAAGTGAGCGAATTCAAAAAATAAGTCTTAACAACAGAGTTCAAGCTGTCGCAGATTACATAACAAAGAAACATTACAAAACAAAGAATATCAAGAAGCTTAATATTAATTTAGTTCATGCATTGTCAGCGAGCAACTCAACGCTGTGCAAACTTATTAGAAGAAATACAGAAATTAATGTTCCTGTAGACACAAAAAGTTTAATAACTAAAAATAATAAGTTGATGCTATGTCCATGTTCAGCTTTAAATGAAATTTGTAGACAAAAAAAAA